GTCAACAAGCGCCATACATTAAATCAGAATTGGTCAGTAAAAGGAACTCCAAGTAGAGTTACTTCGACCGACTCGTTGAGATCTACATAGGAAAAGATATGGCCGCGTGCACGTGCCTCTTTTGCAAAAGCGTCGGCATGGGCATTACAAGAACGTGGAATAAAAGATAGTCGAAAGATCGCAAAGCACTCTCTAAGTTCAGAAAGGTGGTCCAACTCTGTCTGAAACGCTGGCCAATCCATCGGATCGTCAAACATCTTTAGTAGATCCGAGCAATCAATCTCAAAACGGATCGAAGTTAAGCGTTTTTACTTGAGACATTCCGTTGCCCATATGAGGCCATCCAACTTAGCGTGTAGAGCCGATAGGCATCTCCGGCACCCTCGCATGCCGGTCTGATAAATTGGTAAAGCACCATCCAAGACCGCTAGTGGGTCCATGATCCATCCATGAAGCGTCGACTTGGCATATCGGAAGATGAGGATCCACGGATAAGGTGGATGTTATGGCTTGGGGTGGGCTTCCTTCCTCTTCGTCGTCTTCCTCCTCTAAATTTGCGGTTCGCCAGCTTTCTTCCTCAAGTTTTACGAGTTGAAGAGTATCTAAAGGTGATGTATCTCTCCCGTTGAAGAGCTTATCATTTATAGTTTTCCATATGTACCATATGATACATGAGCAGATATCCCGTTGGAGTTTGGGAAGATCCTTTTCTTCGAGCAGTTTGAAATATTTTCACGGTACGCTTGCTAGACCGGTTGGTTTTGAGTCAACGGCACTCAAACTTCACTAAATGGAATTGAGAAATACGAGAAAATAATAAGAAAGAATATTTCGTAACTACAACAAACCAATTTAATTAATCATCCATAATTGCATAGTACGATTTTGAATATATCCACTTCGTACCAAACCTTACAAAGGATTAGCGATGAAAAGGAAAATACTGTGGACGACAAATTCAAGGCGGATTAAAAAGACTACAAGAGTCTATCAAAAGTACAAAGTGGTGCATTATTGAATTAGAGGATAGTTTATGTTGCTAGAACAAGAACTTTAGCACCTTTCTTTCGTTAACGATTTAAGATAAATATTAAATTTCTTCAGAAGAAAATTATTCAGGATGTATAAATATAAAGTTTTTTTTTTTTTGAAAACCTCGAAGTTCAATATAAAGTTGCAAACATTTTCAGATGAAAAAATATTATGCGATCTATCAATGGTACGAAAAGTTGTTCATTATACGAACTGTCAATAGTACCTAAAGAATTTACAGCCTTGGGGTTTCACCTAACCAGAAGTAACGATTCACCCAAAAAAAAAAGAAAGAGAGAGACAAAAATACACAAAGGGAGTTGAAAAAAAATGCAGAAACTTTATGTGACAT